GTTTGCTTTCTGTGTATATGTCTAGATTGGCATTTTTTTCATTTAACACAATCGAGTAGAGTAGTTTATCATTATTTAATTTTCTGGCTCCTATTGTTACTATTAAGAAATCAGCATTTATTTACCTTTTGTTTCTTTGTAGGTATCTTGCTTTTTTTTTTTTCTTCTGGCTGATGTAAAAATCTTTATCTGTGGTGGTCTGTAGTTTTTTAATTGTATGTCTTTATTTCTTTTGCTTTTGATTCGTTAGGCCTTTGTGACTTGATGTGTTTTACCAATTCTGAGTCACTTAACCATTACCTCTTTAAGTGTAATCATTTTCCTTCCCTTCCCTCCCCTCCCCTTCTCTCCCCTCTTTCTTTTGAGGCAAGGTCTTGCTGTATAGTTCAGGCTGGCCTCAAACTCATGACAATCCTCCTGTCTCAGCTGCTTGAGTGCTGGGATTACAAGTGTGTGCCACCACACTGGGCTCTTTTTGTTTATCTGTGCTCTTTTATGGATAATTTCTTCTTGCCTTTCAGTTTCCGAAGTATCTGTTTTGTTATTTCTTATTGACTGTTAACCCCATTTAATTCTTAATTTTTCTTACTGCCTTTTAAAAAGTGTTCCTTGCAAGATAATTTGAAGCTTTTTATTTTTTTAATAAATTTTTTTTGCTTGTTTTTTTTTTTGTTGTTCTGGGTATTGAATACAAGGGTCTTGTGCCTGTAAGCAAGTACTGTACCACTGAGCTATACTGTACCCACAGCCTTTTTTTTTTTTTAATGTATACACATTTTAACAGCTGTGCCTGATAATTCTGGTATCTGAAGTGTTTATGAATTTGCTTCTACTGTTTCTTGGTTGTTGCTCATGACTTTATTTCTTTTAAGGTTTGTCTTGTGTTTTGCCCCTCATAGTCCTTGAAAAATTATTTATGAGGTTTCTTCAAGATCTAGGGTGTAGGTGTTCTTCTAGGCAAAATTTTTATTTGCTTTCTTCTAGTGCCTAGAGATTTTACCTCTCTGATACTAATTTACTGAATTTGTGATTCATTCTCCTATCTGTCTCTCTCTCCCCCCTCTCGGTTTATTGTTTGTTCCAGCCATCGACAAATATTTATTTGGGTTGTCTTTAACATTTCTCAGGGGAAGCTGTGACCCATAAACTACCAAGGCAAATTCCTTGCAGCCCTTAGGATGTAGAATATTTTTCTTCTGGTTTACCTTTTTCCTGAGAGTGTAGGCTAACTACATAGAAGGCTCTGCTGGAAGTGGGACTTGTTTCCTATTCCTGTTGAAACCTGTACCCAGATTATGCTTTGGCCTGTAACTACTTGATACCATGGTGCCCTGGAAATGGAAATTCAGTATCTGCAGGTGCTCTTAGGGCAAGATATGATTTTGATGCTTCTTCTACTTGTCTCCCCTCCCTTCCCCTCCCCTTTACTGGGGATTGAACCTCAGGGTCTTTGCACTGAGCTACATTCCCAGCCCTTTTTGTTTTTAAATTGAGACATGGTCTTTTGCTTAGTCACTAAATTGCCAGGATGGGCTCAAACTTGGGATTCTTTTGCCTCAGCCTACTAGAGTGCTGATTACAGACACACACCTATTTGTCTTATGTTCCTAATTTCGCTTAAATTTTGCCCTACTTGATATTTTACCAAATCTTTGGTCATTTTAATGGCCTTTAAAAATGTTTTCTCTGCTTCATGTGGTGGCACACACCTATAACCTCAGCACTTGGAAGCCTGAAGTAGAAGAATGACCACGAGTTCAAGGTCAGCCTGGGCTACATAGTGAGTTCAAGGCCAGTCTGAACTGCATAAGGAGACCCTGTCTCAAAAAACCAAAAAAGGTTTTCCTTTAAATTTATAGTTGCTTTCTAAAGGATGGTTGGTTCAAACATCCTAGCTTGCCATTTTTCCAGGTATGATTTGACATCTTTTTTTTTTGGTACTGGGGATCAAACTCAGGACCTTGCGCTTGCAAGGCAGGCGGCGGAACTACTGAGCTAAATCCCCAGCCCCATGATTTGAAATCTTTTAGCCCTTGGCAGATATTTATTGAATATATGGCAGAATGATTATAGTTTTAGTATCTTAGTTTCAAAGATTCATTCACCCATATCTTTAGCATATTTTGATTAATGGATATCACAAGAATTTTGGAGTCTGAATTTAGGCTCTTACATTTGGTGGGTAAGAAGGTAGATTTTGAGGAGTTCTTTATTTTTAGACTCACGGACTAAATATGTTTGTCAGGATCATTTGGTTATTTTTTTATTTTCTACAATGAAAATAAAAGTTAAGTAATTCTTCCTGATAAAAGGATACATATAGATTATAAAATTTGAAATTTAGCGAGTTGCAGTGGCACATGCCAATAATCCCGGCATTCTGGGAGGCTGAGGCAGAAGAATCACAAGTTCCAGCCTACCCTTGGCAATGTAATGATTTAGTGAGATGCTGTCTCAAAATAAAAAAAATGAGAAAGCAGTGAGGTTGTAGTTCAGTGTGAAGGCCTAGGGTTTAATCCTCAGTACTCCCTCCACCAAAAAGTTCAACAGTTCACTCACAAGAGGTAAAACAAAGTCCTCTGCAGAAGAATATTACTGAAGAGTATAGTAGTCAAGTATTTTTAGACCACCTTTTCTGGATAGTTTTCTTCATTTCTGTTGTATTGATTTATTTAACCAATATCTAATAAACATTTGTATTCTATAAATAGTACTGTAACGAATGGCTTTGTACATACTTGTGTGCTTTATGCATTCTTTCTTTTAGATAAGTTCCTAAATTGTAGTCATTGCCTAAATTGCTGAAAGGTGACTAGCAGTTTGAAAGATCTAATTTCTGCATACACTACTAATACTGAATTATATCATTTATAGTCTTTGGCAGTGAGAAAAATACTATTTTAACTCAAGTTTCTTCACCAGTGATATTAACATCTTTTTATGTTGACTTTTTCAGTTTCATTGTTAATGCTTGTTTGGGTTCTTTGACTTTGTTGAAATTACTGATGGATAGGAGCACATTATTAAATTGCTAACCCTTTGTCATTTATATCGTCAACAACATTTTTGCCTGTTTGTAATCTCGTCTTATAACTTTGTGTTTACTTTTACCAGTGAGAAGAAAATTTGAAGTAGTCAAATTTATCAGTATTTTTCCTTTATGACTTTATGGGTTTTGTGCTATTCATAGATGTTCCTGTATGTTTTATATTTTTAATGTTGTGTTTGAAAAGTCCTTTATCACTACAAGGTTGAAAAAGTTTATGTTTTCTTATGATTTTTATATAGCCCTGTATAATAGGACCTCTATTTTTCCCTTTTTTCTAATATCTTTACAGATAGTCTTCTATCTTATCAATAAACTCCTGCTAATATTAATGTGCTCTGATCATGAATTATTTATCCATATTATATGAATCTGTTTTTGAATTCTTTATTTGGTGCCACTGGTCAGTATGCCCACTCCTATTCTCTTATTATTATATTGGTTAGTTAATGTAACTTGTGGTGTGTTTTCATTTCTAGTCAAATTTCCTTGATACTCTTTATCAAAAATTATCTGGCTAATTTTCATCATGTTTCCGAGTGAACCTCAAAATAAATTTGTAATGTTTGACCAAAACAGCCCCCCTCAAAGAGAAAGAGAACCTACATGACTACTATTCTGCCGGAAAATTCTTTGAAAAGCCAAATGTAAAACAAAAACCTTAAATTCTTTAGAGAATTTTGGTATCTGTGCAATTTGAATCTAGGAACATGGCATCACCATTTAGTTTCAGTCATCTTTTATATTGATTTGTGAAGCTGTATAGTTTTCTTCACATGAATTTTTATATTTCTTAGGTTTACTTAGTATTTTGCAGATTTTTTTTCTTTTCTTTTTTCTTTTTTTTGCTATTTTGAGTCTGCTTTTTCATTATGTGCTATAGCAGATTATAATTCTTTTATTGTATGTGGGAGCTATTGATTTTTTTATACTTATTTTGTATTTGGCCATCTTACTGAACTTTCTTATTTGTCATAGTAGTTTTTCAGTTGATTTGCTTTGGGTTTTTTTGTGAATGTTTATATCATCCAAAATGACACTTCAATTTGCTGTAACATTTATATCTCATATCTTGTACCTTATCACATTGGCTAAATACTGTTGAATATATGTGTTACCCCTGTCTAGTTTGTAACTTTAATGAGATCTGTAGTGTAATGTCATTAATTATACTTTGTATTGACTTTTGAAAAATAAATTTTATTATTAGATTTGCTAATGTTTAACTATGTTTTCACTTCTAGAATAAACCATGCATAATTGTGCTGTATTATTCTTTTGATATTCCATGTTTGTTTTGGTTGCATTTATTTTAGATATTTTGCATATAAAGTATAGTATAGTTAGACTAGAATAGAGGGTGTAATAAGCTCTGTGCCAAAGTCATGAGACAGTTGTCTTTTGCTTTTGGGGTGATACTGGGAATTGAACCCAGGGCCTTTGCACTGAGCTACATCCCCAGCCCTTTTTTATTTTTATTTTGAGACAGGATCTTGCCAAGTCCTTAAGTTGCCTGGCTGGGCTGGATCTTGTGATCCTCCTTTCTCAGTATCCCACACTGCTGTGATTACAGGTGTGCGCCACCACACCAGGCTGGGGCAGTTGTCTTAATTCTTTATTTACCTACAGCATAGAAATGGGATTGCCTGTGTAGGATTGAGAATATTTCGAAGTTGATTAATTGAACTCTACAAAGTAATCTGCAAATGCAGTTAGGTAAATACAGAATCATTAAAATGTTATTGTGTAGAATTCGAATAAACTATTAACTCAGGTTTCTAGATGGGTAATACTCCAGTAATAATGTTGTTATGCTCCCTGTAATTGGTTTTAGAAAAAAAAAAGTTTCTTTAACATTCACCTTATATTCTCTAGATTTTAACCTGTTCCATGTTTTGGCAATATCAGATTACCTTTCTCATGTAAATTTTGTGTTTCCTTTGATGTTTTCCAGCGGCGAGTAGAGCAACCCCTCTATGGTTTAGATGGCAGTGCTATGAAGGAGGCGTCGGAGGAGCAATCTGCTCTACCAACCCTCATGTCAGTGATGCTAGCAAAACCTCGACTTGACACAGAGCAGTTAGCACAAAGAGGAGCTGGCCTCTGCTTCACTTTTGTATCAGTAAGTACAAAGCTGAACTTACTCAAATACTTTTCATTGTCCTGGAATTCTGTGATAAAGTTGGATTAATTATTTTAGTAGCATTGATAGCATTTTTCATTCTTTTCTTCTTCTAAAGAAAGATACTATATTATACTTTTACTCATCATTCTTGATTTAAGCTCTTGAGGGAGTATGCTTTGTCAAAGTCTCAGCACACAGCTGGAAGGAAAGTATAATATTAGATTGACAAAGAGGTAAAGAGAATACAGATTGAATTCACTGTGACCAAAACTTTTGTATAATTAAAAATAGTTTCCAAATCTCAGCCATCAATTAAATAAGCTAATATTCAAATACAGCACAATTTTAGTAGATAGGTAGGCATTCTACAGAAAGGTTACTGATCATTTCCCCCGTATGATATGTGGACTGCCTACACACTTGCCTTCTTGACCTTTTGAGGTGTTGGTATGGTTATTTTTGTCAGAATTATTTGGCTACCTGTTTGTTCCTTTCGACTTCTTTCTTTTTTTGAAAACTAAGATGGGGGGAGTTGCTGAGGATCTAACCCAGAGGTACTCTACCACTGAGCAATACCTCTAGCCCTTTATATGTTTTTTATTGAGAGAGTCACCCTAAGTTTGCCACCCTGGCCTCAGACTTGGAATCTTCCTACCTCAGCCTTTTGAGTAGCTGGGATTATAGGTGTGTGCCATTGTGCTCAATATTTGAATAATATACAGTCTTGACTCTATTGGGTTTTTTTTAAACTCCATTTTAATTTGCGAAATAATAATATATAATGCATTTTGAATCAAATTTGTTACTTTTCTTGGTGTCTGTGTCTGTTTTTTGCCACAAGGGTGGAATAAGAAGACTGAGCATCATTCATAATTAAAGTCACCACTGATTGCATCCTCATCACTGCATTTCCTCCACTTATAATCTAATAATTTCCTGTGTTTGCCTTGTGGATTATTCTGAGTCATTCACCACTGTGCACTGCATTTCAAATGGCAGTAAAAATGGTGGGTGGTGTCTTAAGGAAATGAAATAAAAAGAATAAAATCATTAGGAAATCATGTGCATTATTTGGAATATTTCTCATAGTTATTGTAGTTTTACCTCAAGAAAGCGATGGGAATTTTTTTAAAAGTCTACAAAATTATTTATTCGTCAAAGGAATGAGGAAAGTTGTGTATGAAGATACTATATAATTTTATCGTTGAGGCACAAAAAGATTTGACCAATATAATATTGTGGGAGGTCCTTGACAGCAGTTTGAAACAATTTTTGTAAGAATTCAGTAGTTCTCTATAGTACTGTTTTAGAGCAGTGATGGTGAACCTTTTAGAAGCGAATTGCCCATACTGCAAGCTAAAACCCACTTACTTATCGCAAAGTGCCAACACTTCAGTTAAACCTGAATGCTAAGGTTTTAGTTTAGAAAAACAACTGATATGTGATGCTTGGCTGCTGGGACAATTTGGCCTCTGTGCTAACAGGGCGCTCTGTGTGCCCACTGCAGCCTGCATGCCATAGGTTTGCTATCACTGTTTTAGGGAATGTATATGTTTCATTGTGTGTTTATTATTCACTGATTTTCATTAAACCTGCATCTTAGAGGGTTGTTTCTCCTTTTATTCTGTCATTGCCTTAGAAATGACCTCCTTTTCACTTGAGGGGAACCCTTCGGTTATTCTTATTGTATATGTATTTACTGAGTGCCCACTGTTTGTTTGTTTGTTTGGTACTGGAGATTGAACTGAGGACATTGTGCTTGCGAAGCAGGCACAGCACCACTCAGCTAAATCCCCAGCCCCCAAGTGCCCACTATGTGATGGACACATAGTTAAATACACAGGATTTTGATCAGTGGGAAATCTATCCCCTAATGTAAAGTTCCCATAAAAGGTATATTTATCTTTTAGGCTATCAGAGGAGTTGCAGATACTCTAGGTAGATTGTTCTCACAGAGCAGAGGAACAACAAAGTGATCGTGTATAAAGTAGGAATGTGAAAACAGTATGAAAACCAAAGGGTAAATTCTTTGATACCAGTCTCTTTTTCTCAGCAATTCCATCCTGGACATGAGCTTAATAATATAAAAAATAAGTAGAAGTGAAAGCACTGACTTTAATATTCAACAAATATTATGAATCAGTGGATAAAGATAGAGGTTACTTAAAAAAGTGGGCAGAGGACAGCTTTATGGGGAAGAGAAAATCAGGTGGCTAATAACATGAAAAAATGCTTAATGTGGGCCATAAAGAAACACAAAATGAAAAAAAAAACACTTCTGACGTATCATTGGCAAGGACTCATAAATTTGTTAATTTTCAGTATGGGCGATAGAGACACACATAACTTTATTTTATTTTATTTATTGATTGATTGATTGATTGATTGATTGGGTACCGGGGATCAAACTCAGGTCCTTGTGCTTGCACAGCAAGCGGTGAAACCACTGAACTAAATCCCTGGCCCCACATGTAACTTTATATTGACTAGAAATTAATCATTAAGACAAATTGGTAATATATCTCAATGATAAGTTGATAGACGTATAAATTTTGTTCCCATAAAACTACAAAGATGTTGGGCCAGGGATTTAGCTCAGTGGCACCGTGCCTGTCTCGCAAACGCAAGGTCCTGAGTTTGATCCCTGGTACCAAAAAAAAAACCTACAAAAATGTTTGTTTTGTACAATTTGTAATTGGAAAATCTGGAAGCAATTTTCCTCCACCTATGTTCCAAAGGATGTGAGTTTCACATTGCTAAATCCAGGGATCAGTTCTTAGAGCTCATCTCACTCGACTCATTAACCACAGTTGGTCATTGTCTTCTCCTAGCACGCACTCTTCACTTGGCTTCCACTCTTGTAGTATTTTCTCACTTCCCCATCTCTAAACATTGACATGACCCAGGGTTCAGATTCCATTTCTACCTTCATTTTCTACTTATTCTTGTCTCTGCTGTTAAAACCTATCACATACATGCACGGGACTTCCACATTTATATCTGTAGTCAGATTTCTGGCCAGAGTTCCAGACTTGTATAGTCAGTTAATTGTAGTCCTCTCCTCTGTCTAACAAGCCTATCAGATTTAACCTGTCCAAAACTGAATTCCTCATTCAGTTCTCCAAATTCAAAATCCTTTCCTCCCATAGCCTTCCACATCTTAATTTGTCAACTCTTTCCTTCTGTTTCATGCTAAAAAGCCTGGAGTCACTGTCATCTCTTCTCTTTATATTATACTCTAAATCCAAAGCCATCAGCAAATCTTATTTTACCTTCAAGATATAGTCAGAATTCTACTACTTATTATTTATTTTTATTTTTTGGTACTGGGGATTGAACTCAGGACCTTACGCTTGTGAGGCAGGCAGAACCACTGAGCTAAATTCCCGGCCCTCTACTGCTTATTCTTTTCACTACTACTGCTGCAGTCTAAGCTATTGTCTCTCAATGAGATTTTGGCTTCCTAATTGGGCTCTTTGCTGCTTCTACAACTTTTTCTTTTAACCTGTTCTCAACAGAGCATCATGATAATTTTTTTGTGTGTGTTTTGGTTTGCTTTGGTTTTTGAAACAGGATCCTGCTATTTAGTTCAGGCTGGCCTTGAACTCAATATGTAGCCCAGGTTGGCCTCAGACTCAAGGTAGTCCTCCTGCCTCAGCCTCCTTAGTGCTGGGATTGTAGGTATGCACCACCACTCCCAGCTCCATGTTAATATTGAAACATAAGTCCAGTCATGCTCTCTGATCTCCTTTTCTCCCCAGGTTCCATTCACACTAGCCACCTTGTTTCTTCAGCCTTGTGCTACCTCAGTGCCTTTACACTTGCTGTGTGCTTCCTCAGTTCTTTTTGGTTTCTGTTTAAATATACCCTATTTAAAAGAACTTCTTTGACTCTACTAAATAAAATAGCAACTTCTCCCTGTCTGTCCCACATTTAGCTTTTATGCTTTGCTTTGTTTTTCTCTTTAGTTTTATCGCCTACTGATGTGCTGTAATGTGTGTTTTTGTCTGACTTCCCCCCACTGGGATGCTCCATCAGGTCAAGGACTTTGCTTTGTTCACTTCTGTATCTCCAGTGTCCCGAATGGGATTTGCTCAGTGTAATTATATGTTTCATGCATTGATAAATGCATTCTTTTGGCTGGGCATGGTGGTGTACACCTGTAGTCCCAGCATTCTGGAAGCTGAGTCAAGAGGATTGCCAAGAATTTGAGGCCAACCTAGACTACCTAGCGAGACCCTGTCTCAAAAAAAAAAAGCATTCTTTTGAAGAGAGATTGGTTAAATGAATTATAATACATTCATGTGATAGAATGCTATACAACTGACAAATAAGATAGCTGTATATATGCTAAAAATGAACGATTTCTGTGTATTGATTAAAAATGCCAAGTGGAGCTGAATGTGGTAGTAAATCCCTCTAATTCTAGCACCCAGGAAGCTGAAGCAGGAGGATCAAGAAAGAGTTCAAGGTCAGCCTGTGCCACATAGTGAGACCCTTGTCTCAAAAATACCCCCCCCCCAAAAAAAACAACAGCAGGTGGGCTGGCATGGTGGCTCACTCTTATAATACCAGCTACTAGAGAGGCTGAGTCAGAAAGATCACAAATTTGATTGTATGCACATTTTAGTTTTCTACTATTTTTCTTAAGAACCTCTAATTATACTACTAGTTAAAGGTTTGAAGCCAGCCTGGGCAATTTAACAAGACTGTCTTAATGGGCTAGGATGTAGCTTAGTGGTAGAGTTCTTGCCGAGCGTGTGTTAGGTCCTGGTTTCAATCCCCAGAATAGGGTTAGAAGGAGCAGCTGGCATAGCTCTTTTTTACTCTTCTTTTTTGTTTGGCATAGTATTAAAAGTTTAATTGGGAGATGGGGGGGGTGCGTGCTGGGAAAGCAGAAACCCAGGGCTTTTGTATGGGTAGGCAAGCACTCTACCATTGAGCTACATTCTCAGCCCAAGAGTCTGATCTTTCTGTGTTTAAAATTACTTAATTTT